GGTCATACCGGGATTTACCACTAGACCACCCCCGTTACAGTTTTCATATCATATCTACCTTGACACAACAACTCCTCTCTTCTTTGTTGCCTTGTACTGAGCTTGCAGTGTCGCCTTTGCTTCACTCCACCCATATAGGTTTTTCACATCATAGTGACGATAATCTCCACCACGTTGTATCCCACACATGCACATTGTTTTGGATGAAAGATAGTAGTTCTGAAAGTGATACGAAAAAGATGTAAAGAGAGAGGTGTGGCAATCAAAAAAGGAAGAGAACCACATACGGATGCCTTCATTATCTGTTACAGCGCCGTGCCAGCGCTGTGCTAGCGCCACATTGGAACATCGACTGACACTTGACGTGTCTGCGAATTTTGGCACGGAGCTGGCACGCGAGCAACAACAAGCAAGCAACCAAACCACACAGACCTCGCCATATCGCCAAACTGCGCGTGTTTTGTAGGGTGGCATATCCCACTCCGAGTCTTGCTTTGATGTGTCTACCGGACACTTGAGCTGGGTTATGTTTGGGTGATCTGGATTATCAAAGTACCATGGACGATCTTCATTCGTGCCGAATGCTGCTGGTTCATTCATATCGATCCAGATACCGTCATACTCAAGCTTAAAATCGAATTTTGATCTAGAAAGCGTTTGAAACCACTCGTGAACCCACTTTTTCGTGAAATTCTACAAACTCGTCAATCCACCATTCGATAGTTTTGTTTGTTTTTTCGAAGAAGTCAGGGAATGCGACGTGCTTATCAGGCCAAACAACGCTCAACATGATTTTTGTGTCTTTCGCTAGCGGGTACAATTCCTGAACTGTCTTAGTACCTATGCATACTTTTACGACTACAGTACTCGCTTACCTGAATATCACGAGGGACTTGATCTGCTCTCTCCCACTCAATGAATCGAGCACCCTAAAGTGATTGTTCAATGGGAGAGCAAAAAACTTGCAGTAAACCCACTTTTTCTATCGCTCTTTTGAAGGCATCATCATCCACTTGTATGCCAACATCGAAGATTGGAATAAGCTTCATTCCACGTCTATGCAAATTTTCGGTATATTCAGGAAGTCCTTTCCACTTCTGTAAATACGTCGTGACGAGTCTTTGGTATGTAAAAGATGTATCGATACCAGAATTTCAGTTAGAGGTCAAAAGTGTTTTATAAACTCTGTTATTAATAATTCGAGTAGCTAATTTTACAGATCCGTCCAAGCTGTACTCAATAGAGGAGATGCGCACAAACGCAAATTGTCAAGGTATCTAATAGAGCTGGGTTTAGCGTTTAGTCGAATTTTGGAGGTATCAAGGTTTGAAGCAAAATTTTGTAATGTCGCAATTCTTCTCCTTTGACAGAAACTCCCTCCTAGAAAGTTTGTGATGATGTATTGCAGCTTTGAAGCGAATAAGACATCTGCCAAAACTTGTAGGCAGCCATCATCAACGACAGCTTGTGCCAGCTATATATGCGTTGCGTAGGTCGAAACTTTCTCACATACTATATTTACGCTATGATGATATTGGAAAAAAATCTGAAGAAAATGCTGGGTGGCTTTCTGTATCAGAGTTACTTTTTGACGCTTTAATCCATCAAGAACATATTGCTTCAAAAAGGACGGCTACATGCGCGGCATATTTGCAACCGTAGGACTACACCACGCCTGACTTCAGCTTTGTTGATCTTGGCACATACCTAGTACTCAAGTATAAAAACTCTTTCAGAGATCTATGTAGATAGTTTTACAATTGACACTTATTACTCATTTTTGGGTTTAAATGGTGGAAGACCACAACCGTGCCTTGGCGTAAAATTATACCTTTGCAAATTGCAAGATATCTTTATGGATACTCGTACACTTTAAAGTCATGCTAT